ATATCCCGACGACGATGCAGAGAAGGAGAAGACCAAGAGTACCGAGCCACAGGGTCGTATCAAAAGGAGCGAAAAAGACTTGCCACCAGGGGACCTGTCCCCTCGTTTTCCCGTACAAGCAAACGGTACTCTCCATGATAGGCGAAGATGCCCGGAGGACGACGTCTCGATTCCCAGTCATGCCGTAAGTGTCAACAGCCACGTCGCTCTCTCCTGTCGCTAGATATTTCATGTGACCGCTGCAAGTGTTGTTTTCCAAGAAGCAATATCCTCCCCATGTTTCGTTTTCCTCCTTCCAGTTACACGTGAAATTGAGTATCATTTCCATCACGTTCCAAATGTCGCCGATATACCCACTGTTCAGACCGATCATTCTCCCCCGGAAATCCTTCGTGTGAGTCTTCTGATAGTATTCCGGTCCGGTGACGCATCTCAGTCGAATTCCACGAAGACTCCCACGTCGTAGAAACGCGTCTTCATTCTTCATCCAATTCCAATTTCCACTGATATATTTGGCTACGACATTCGCAAATGTCATGTCGGACCCGTCAAATCGATAGTGTTCGACCAACTGGACGCTTCTGTTTCGGGAAGTAAGTTGGTAGACCTGAGACCGGACCCCCGGGACACTCGAGCCAAGGGAAAAGTTCTCGATTCCAGCGAATATCCAAATCCCTCTGGACAAGAGAGATTCTAGATTCTGCGGAGGAAGATTAAAGGCGGCAGGATGATGATATGAGACGCGGACTCGACGAGGATCTCTCTCACTGTCTCCCAACGCATTCCATGGGTTTGAAGGGTCTCCCATGAGCCATCCTCGGATACAAGACTTTGCAGGGTCAGAGATTTCCCAAAGCGTCCCGTTCATACCTGAAAGATTGCAATTGAACCTCCGGTACTCACTTTCCAAGCATCATTCTATAGGGTGTATGATAAGTAACTCCCTATTTTGAAATGCTTGTAACTCTTATTTTTTAACGAAATTTAATGAAACAAACTGTGAATTATGCACCAGTTATTGAGGTTTTTATTCGTCCACACTTCACACTTCCATGAATGCTCCTGCATTGTCAACATATTTCCTTAGGCGAACAGGTCGTAACTGCTGGTCGTAACGTGTGTCAAGGTACGTTATGAAGAACATTGTTGATTCTTTCTTCCAGTTCATTAAGATTTCGTTCAGTACATTAAGAACGAGTGCCTCCACGAACTGATTCACCGGAACTTCTTGTGAACATTACGTTCACTTTTTCAATGTTTTCAGGTGTTCGCGAGGTTGATAGTCGTCCTGATTTGGTCTTGTCTGTTACTGAACCGGTTGTCATTAACTTCTGATGACAACTATTTATTGTCTTAGCATCCAGTGTTGCACGAGGACCATTTTCAACCCTCCACAATCGCTGAACTTTAATTATTGATCCCCAAACCTCGTAACAGGCAGCTATTTTGGCCCTTTGTTGAACTGTTAGTCATTCTTTAACCTGAAACAAAAACACTAACGAAAATAAAAGCCTCACTAATTGGTGCATAATTCACAGTTTGTTTCATTAAATTTAGTTAAAAAATAAAAGAGCTACGAGCATTTCAAAATAGGGAGTTACTTATCATACATCCTGTATTTTTGCGCAGCGCTATTTTCTCCCTCCCTCGATTGCTTCTTAACCGATCTTACTCGACTAATTCCTATTGCATTAGTAACGCGTCAGAGATTTTTCAATTGGAAGTAACTGGAATCTGAAATCGTGTCATTGCTTTTGCGTTGATATTATTAGAGCTGCCAATTCAATTAGATCAGGAAATTTACTTATTATTAATAATAATTTAAACAAATTAATCGGAAAATAAACTACCTCCCAAACCTCCCGAGTTCTTTTCCATATTCACAGTCTTGCAAAAAAAGGCAAAAGGGAATATATTGTGATTGAAATCAGAAGACTTCCAGTAGACAGTCGTTTTAGCTTGCCCTTCAGCAAAAAATTGTGCTAAAGGTGCTCACAAAAACAAACGCAACGCAAATAATTCAGAAGGAAGCGAAGGGATCGTGAGATGAAAAAAAAGGGGGGAGGGGGAAATCCTATATTCCTTCCAAGTTACTTCTGAGCGATTAATCCGGCGCATATGTGTTCTATAAGTTGCGAGAAATCGGGTTTACCTCAATTAAGGGGTCTTTAGGGAGTATGATGAGGTGAAGGGTAAGGGGAAAGTCCATGTCGTCTGGTTCCCACAGGCATCCAGACAGCAAATGCATTTCAGCAAGTACTTGCACTTACTGAAATGCAGAAAGGGTTTTTTTTTTTTCTTCCCTTCCCACTGGAATTTTTTTCCCTCTTGGGCCTCTAAGCACTTTTCCTCTGCTGCCCCTTCTCTCTGTCTGTTAGCGAATACTCTAGATGCATCAACGTCCACTGGAATCGGCTCCATCTCTTTTCAATCGGGGCTGAACTCGCCCGAAACGAGAGGTGGCGGGTCGCCACACACCGATGTGAGTCGGAGGGACATGGGTGACCATGTAGCAGAGCGAATTCTATGAAGCGTGTAAAATACGTGTATCATACACACTTCATGAGAATGTTTCACCAGTGTGCGACATGTTTAGTGTAGATAGAGATAGGGCGAATATACCCTGGGGCTAAAGAGAGCGGGCGAAAACTTGCTCTTGTAGAATGGGGAGGCACAGGTCTTTTGCCTCGCAGTCTCATTTCGCTTTCGTACTGGCGGATGTCGAAGCCCGTTTCTGCATGTTGTATCGTGCAATCGTTTAGTTTTCAACGCAGAAAATAATGATTCCATTATAGACAGGTGAGTAACGGTTTTCGCCTTCAATTTCAAATGCCCACTCACGTCATGTTTGTGCCATCGTTCGTCCAAAATTAGACTCAGAATCCGTCTGGTTCAGTTTTTCAGCGTGGAACAATTAAAATCCGTCCCCAGCCGATTGTTTGTTTGAAAGCCTACTTCTCTTGCACGCCGTGTGAGAAGCACGTTTTCTCTATGCACCTTAAGGAAAAGACTCCTGTCAGTGTCCTCCACAACCCTTGCCAGTTTTTTCATGATACAAAATCTCTGTATCGATGGCATCAAGAGAGAAAAATAAATGTTTTTTGGATAACTTATTCTCTTAGCTGTGCAAAGCGGTCATTACCATCAGGGTTCGAGCTACCATATCCCCAAAAATTTAATGAAAACAATCTGGTCCGGAATTACCACCTGGAACAATTACAAACATCACCCTATCTACATTCCTATTCCTGGCAAGCCCGAGTAGTAAGCATTGTGTCTTATCAGAACACTGGAGAAATGTTCTCTTCGTTTCGAAGCTGCCTGACCATTTCGATCCATTTCTTCCCATCTTAGCATCAATTCTTCAGTTGTGAGAATGACTATTGATCGTTACCTGCAAACCGAGTAGTAACCGAAAGTAGATACTGATTTGTATCATGAAAAAAACTGGCAAGGGTTGCAGAGGACACTGACGAGTCTTTTCCTTAAGGTGCATAGATAAAACGTGATTGGGTGACAATTGCGACACCGTTATTTTTCCCAACAAGCCGAGAAAAGAAAAAGTCTGACAACCTGATTTGGAAAGAGGGGAAACGGTGTCGCATTTGACGCAGACATGCCTGGAGGGGAGGGGGAAGAAAGGAAAGGGGATTCCAGAAGTAAGGGGTCATCGCGAAACTCATTCTCTCCCTTCCCTCTCGCACTTCCAATATGCAGTCAAGCCCCACTTATATCACCAGAGCAATGTCATTTATTCTCTGAAAGATTCCCCAAAAAACATAGTCATTCACAACAGCTGGGACTGGACATCATTGCAGAATTCTTGAAAATTTAATTACATGCATTGTAGAGCATTCATTTTTTACACACCTGTTTTTCTCTTTTTTCAATGGATTACTTATTTTTTAATAGCAAAAAAAAATGGCAAAATAGCCATATAGGCTTTATCAGCGGTTCTCAAACTGTGGGTTGCAAAAGGGTCTAAGGGGGGTTGCGAAGGAGTCCCAGTGGGATTGGAGATAATTAATGCATTTATTTTCATTCACCGATTTCATGAAACCGTGTTTTCCGAGAAAAAATCTTCCTATGAATTTTTTAATATTGCAGCAAAAATAAACTCCATTTGAGGAATAATCCATATTTTCAAAATGTTGGGGAATACTTGGAGAAAATTATAGAGATTATGTAGTTTGCCTTTGAATTTGCCGGGGATGCCTATGCCCAGTCTCAGCTGTTGTGAATGACTTTCCTGTTTTGGGGGGAATCTTTTTAGAGAATAAATGACATTGCTCTATTGATATAAGGTAGGCTTGAATGTATATTGGAAGTGCGAGAGGGAAGGGAGAGAATGAGTTTCGCGATGACCCCTTACTTCTGGAATCCCCCTTCCTTTCCTCCCCCTCCCATCCAGGCATGTCTGCTTCAAATGCGACACCATTTCCCCTCTCTCCAAATCAGGTTGTCAGACTTTTTCTTTTCTCGGCTTGTTGGGGAAAAAAAAAACGGTGTCGCAATTGTCGCCCAATCGAAAACGTGCTTCTCACATGGCGTGCAAGAGGAGAAGTAGGCTTTCCAACAATCTGTTGGGGACGGATTTCAATTGTTCCACGCTGAAAAACCTAACCAGACGGATTCCGAGTCTAATTTTGGACAAACGATGGCACAAATTATGACGTGAGTGGGCACTTTTCAATGGTAACAAATTAAGCTGTCTTGAGGATTTACAAATTTTCGCAGATGTTGCCATAGGTGCTGAAATTTTTCCTCACGGAAAAGTGTTAAGACCTTTGGAAGGCAGTATAGAACCAGAGAGTGCAACTAGAGGCGACACTCCACTCGAATCATAGAGAGCGTGTAATGGAGGGGCCTCCCCTATGGCGCGAGGCGCTGCACCCTTCCAGGCGCGGCCGCCATCTAGCTGCGCACGAGCATGGTTTTTCATAGCGGGCACATGGAGAGGGGGAGGGCAAAATATGCAACTTTCCCCGAGCTATAGGCCTATGCCTGGGGACCTCCACGCCGGGACTCAACCAATCATGGTATTCATTCCCACGTGCGAGATTTCACCAAGATGGCGGAAGCACTTGTAAGTCTCGAGGCAGCGAAAGCCTCTCCAGAGACACCTATATACACTCTATGACTCGAATCCCATTCATTGACAGGGTTGCAATATAGATGTCGCTGTCAATCCTCCACATAGCGGACACACGTCAATAACTCCTTGACCGAACGATGGACTCAGAGACACTAGTATTGCGTTGAGGGACTCCCTATAGGTCGAATCCCCGAATGCGTCAAATCTCGATTCTACTACCTCTGTAACATAATTCACTTCCGTGAATTATGTTACGATGGCCCACCAGATGTCTAAAATATTTGAACTCTCACCCCTTGGAATGTCTCCTTGTTGCACTCTCGACTTTAAGACTTTAAGACACGAGGCAAGAACTTGCTAGCAAGTGCTTGCTTACAAGTAGCAAGCGAGGTAGCAAGTCGACTCTAGTCGGACTTTCCTCCACTTGCTCGAAAGTTGTCAAGCATCTGTGAAACGAAATCGAAAAGAGGGAAAACTCACACCTACTATAGATGTCAGAGAGATCTTTCGCGGGTCATTGTCTTTGTATTCTAACAGACCTTGACCTAGGTCTAGCCTCTGTATACCTGCACACCCAGATTTAGGCATATTTTTGTGTGACATGGCGCCACAACTCTCCTTTGAAGCCACGGAGGCCCTTTTTAGCGGCTTCCGTGATCGAACTGGAAGTTATTACAGTGTGTAGAAATACCACGACCCTTGCGGTCGTGGTATTTCACCTAAAGAAGCCATGATGATATACCCTATTATGAGAGCAATATCTCTCCCTTGATTTAACTTCGAATGCACAAGGGACATTTCGGACAATTTTCATTAAGAAACGAAGACCAAGTCTGCTCCTACAAAATGTGGGGGGGGGGGGGGGGGGGGCCAGGAATCCTGCAGTTGCAGTACCAAGATTCCTCACTAGATGGAACCCTTGTTCCCTGCATCCTACAATTATTAAGTACTGGTCTTTTGCTCTGTCGTGCTCTTTTGGCAATCAACAAACTTAAAATTCTACTTTTTAAAACAAACTCCTTTCATTTCCATTAAGGGAGGTGGGGAAAAATATCATACGACACCGGCTCTACGGTAGACCAAACGGCGAGGAGCGTCTACGGCCCTCCCCCTCCCGCTCGAAGCGAGGCGCCCCAGGCGGTCGCCTGGGTCGCCTGCCAGGCCTGGCCCTGGCCTTGGCCTTGAGCCTCACCCCAATTGGTTCCTACAGGGTCTTACCGACCAATCAGAGCGCGACTTGCTTACAAGCATTCTAGGATTTTGAACCGAGGGGAAAGTAGAAGCAAGCACTTGCCGGGACTTGCTCGAACTTGCTGGAGCGAGCAACTGGTGTATACACGAGTTAAGTCTCTTTGCAAGTGTATCTTAGAACTGGAGCACAATGAGATATCATTGCGGCACTTTTCACTTCCATGGGATTTCTCCATATATCAGTGGTTCCCAAACTTTTTTGGTCACGACTCAAAATTCAACATCCAAACCCTGGGTCGCGACCCATGTTTGGGAACCCCTGCCATATACAGTATGTTTCATTGTTTTCTCGCAGATGTGAAGGTGGTGGGAGGCAGCCATTGCTCTGACCATTCCATCGGTCCTATGATGTCTAGCCAGGACTGCAATGGGTGCAGACACCCTAGTATCAAAGAGGCCTCAAATTTCGCCTTGGTTCACCTTCGTTGGAATGGCTGGGCTGGTGGGACTAGTAGAAGTTCCGACCGGACTCCTCCAACTGTCTTCGGTTCGCTTATATTTGTGGTTTATTCCATTAACGACTTAGATCATGCCCCCCTTAGACCCTTTTGCAACCCACAGTTTGAGAACCGCTGATAAAGCCTATATGGCTATTTTGCCATTTTTTTTTGCTATTAAAAAATAAGTAATCCATTGAAAAAAGAGAAAAACAGGTAAAACCCCCCCCCCCCCCCCCCCCCCCCGAGTAAAATTAAGAAATTAGCCCAACTACATCAAAATAGGTTTCTGCATCAAAAGTCGGGAAGGGAGACAGAGAGGGCCGAGGGATATTCTCAGCTTTTGGACGAATAGAGTAAAGAATGGCTCTTGAAATTTATTTTATAATCATACTCTGAATCAGACTCTGAATGCATTTGCCGAGGATAAATTGAAAATGGCGAATGGAAAGAGACACTTAGGATCACGATCGATTAGGCTTACACACGCAGGCGACAGTAGGTAAATAGCAAGATTTTATCATAGTCCATCTCTTCATGCCGATAAGAGCTTGCGCGCTATTCTCTGGTTGCGTGTAGCGCAGGTAAGACCCCATTAAGAGTATTCAATTTTGGAGGTCTGCAAATAAAAGCGATCTAATGGCACTCGAGAAGATTCAGAGGCGGGCTGCAGAAATGAAAGATGCGACGAACGTGAGGTGTTTAGAAAACGGCGGGCTCGACGAGTGAGAGAGGGAGAAAGAGAGAGAGGTTAACGAGGGTGAGGGACCTCATCCGGGCATGTACGAATCATTAAGGGAATCGATAACGCGGAGCATGGTTGCTTTTCCAACTCGATGGTAGCAGCAGAACGTGAGGGAACTAGTTCAAGTTGAGCAAATCCCTCATGAGACTGGTTCAGAATGATTTCTTCAGTTACAGAGTAATAAATACGTGGAATGCGTCATGCGGTAACGTAGCGGCTTCCCCTTCCATGTCCAAGTCGCTAAGCCGTGAGTGCCGAGGCAGTGGATGGATATGCTGCGACGAAAATGAAATATTAATATTTGAGACGTAGGCTCTCCTTATTGTACTCGTATATGGACGCGAGACCTTGATACCTTGAACCTAAATGGCGCGTCGCCTCTCTAGTCTCTGTCGGCCTCACAACAGGCATAGCGCATCATTCATTTGAATTTCAAATGAACGTTCAAGGCTAGACATTTTGGCCAGCTGGTACGAAAGGCTGCTACGACGTGGTGATGGTGAGTCTCGGTCAGATAGGCTTTCTTATTCTGTAGGGCTGCCTCAATGTTCTTAAAGCACCTGTTCCGTTCACCATGCCCGTGTTCTGTACAGGCCCGCTCTCTACAGACCAATTTTTCGCAAAATCGCCCATAGTTTGCCATCGCTTATTCCGAATTGTATTTCATTCCCATTAGTCTAAAATTCAGGATCCGCATGCATGTTTTGTCATTCCACCCTATACTTAAAGGAAAATTTACTGATCGGGAGGAGAAAAGAAATCGGCTACAGACCACTCCAACCCTCCTCGTTGTACAGTACCTAGTCCCATCGAGAATAGATCCACACAAGTAACATACACATATAAATGACGTCTATGCGACGTAAACGCAACGTCATTTAGCTCAAGTAACATTGCATGGATGTGATGTGATGTGATTGCATGGGCAGTTTATGCGAAGAAGGCGCTCCATTCTGATCGGCGTTGGTGTGTGACCACCACAAAACACGAGGCTGTTGTTGCGAGCTGTGGAAAACTGATCCCCGAACGCAGCAGAGTTGCCAAGTTTTAGAATTGACAGATTCCAACAGTCACTAACGATGGTACCACTAATACAATATATAGATACAAGATCTCGATGGAAGATCGGGTTAAAACCCGCAGTCGTGTCCAAGGTTCAAGTTCGGGGCAGGGACGCCGAGAGGCACTTCAACCCGTATAAACATCCGAGTCGAAGTCGAGCCGATGCCAGAGATGGTCCCATCGAGGCCCACGCGATTCCACGCATATGTTGGGGCCAATGCAGGTTATTGACACAGCATTTACTTGAAATGGTACATGATACATTCGTCACGTCAATGGGGAAAAGAAGGGCCTCGATCAAACTATGATCAGTTGATCAAATGGATTATCGATCAGCAGCCCTTATCATTTGGTTCGACTGCATTTTCCCCCATTATGCGAGTCTGTCCTGACAACCAACCGGGACTTGCAGTGTGTCATAAATAACTCGAAATTTGAAGCCTCATAACTGTGATGTTGAAAAGAAATGAACGAGATATTCATGTAATCTCAGACACAATTTAGGGAAGAAGGTCGAACTCTCTCAATGCACTTGCAGATTGATCCACTAGTAAATTGCATGACGGGCATTGTATGGCTCTGACAAAGAGTATTGACAAAAGCCTAATCCTCTGTCAAGGTCTTGTCGCCTTCCAATGTCGGTCGTTTATCTAGCTTGTTGGTGTCAGTCGCATGTACGAAGTTACCTTTCTCTCCTAGAAAGCGATAGGGGGTTTGCTTTGAAGCACCTATTCCTCGTGATTCTTGGGATGGAGAGAGACCGTTTACGATTTCGAATTTGACAGTTCACTGCAATCATTTGCCCAATAGAGTTTAGCATTCCCAATTGTTAACGAGGGTGAGGGACCTCATCCAGGCATGTATGAATCATTAAGGGAATCGATAACGCGGAGCGTGGTTGCTTTTCCAACTCGATGGTAGCAACAGAACTTGAGGGAACTAGTTCAAGTTGAGTAATTCCCTCGTGAGACTGATTCGGAATAACTTATTCACTTATAGTGTAGTAAATGCGTGGAATGCGTCGTGCGATAACGTGGCGGCTTCCCCTTCCATGCCCGAGGAGAAAAGTCCTAAGTAACGAGGCAGCGGATGGATTTGCTGCAACGAAAATAAAATATTAATATTTGAGACGCATGCTCTCCTTATTGTACTCGTATATGAACGCGAGACCTTGACACATGATGTCAACGGATAAAAACGTCTCTTCATGTCTTTATCAGAACCTTGAACCTAAACGGCGCGTCGCCTCGCAAGTCAGTCTCGAGTCTTGCGCGTTCTCTGTCGGCCTCATAACAGGCCTAGTGAATCAAGTCAATTGAATTTCAAATGAACGTTCAAGGCCAGACAATTCGGCCAGCGGGTACGAAAAGCTACCATGAGGTGGTGATAGTGGGTCTTGGTTGAGTAAGGTCCCATAGGGTGTCTTCCACTTTCGCTCCCGAGACTTAGTTGATAGATAGTTGCTAAATTTTCCCCTTTATCTCATTTCGATAAACAGGGACGAGAGTCCGCAGGGGAAAACATTGAAATCAATGTTTTCCAAACGTTGATTTCATGATTGATAACCACGTCTGTCTTGACCTTTTAAAAGGGGGGAGGTAAGGTTAACTCCCAATTTCACTTTCCCAACCTATGTAACATAGATACTGAAAGTGACTCGGAGTGGATAGGAACTATAGTCCCTCATGGATTCAGAAATCATTGTTCTTATGAAGAATCTTATATTGCAGTCAAATGATGGTATGAAATGCACAAATTAAAAAATCATACAGCAAAAAAAAACTTGCATCTGGACGAACTGCTTCTGAAGGAAGAGATGGTTTAACCAAATGACGCCACATAATAAAGGGTTGGGACATTTTTACAGGTCAATTTCATTTGTTCGAAACAGATGAATAGATTCTGGAGATCGTCAATCTAAGCATATCAGTCCCTGTATTTCTTTTTCTTTCTTATCCTAGCACCCAGTCTCCAGCCCGACCAGCCGCGATTCCAAGTGCGATTTTCCCTTCTCTATCAAAGCCACGAATTCAAACATATGTAAGCGGCTTTTCTAGGCATATATCAGAATCCGCCTTATACAGGGAGGGATAGTGAAACAGGGAGATGACCTCCCCTCCCCTCCCCTTTTTAAAGATTGAGGCAGGTATGGTCATCAGTCATGAAAATCAGGCGTGGAAAGTCGCCCCAGTGTACTTTCGCCTCAATCGTGTGTAGATTTTAGATTAAACCATATCTTGTGATTCTTGTCAATCGGAATGCGGGGGGGGGAGATTCCACTGGGGCGAAAGTAGAAGTAAACTTCCATAGATCAATGTTCTCAAAGCACCTGTTCTGTTACCACGCTAGTGTTCTGTACAGGCCCGCTCTCTACAGACAAATTTTCACAAAATTGCTCGTGGTTTCCTACTGCTTATTGCTGATCGTATTTCATTCCCATTAGTCTAAAGTTTGGGACCCGCGAGCATGTTTTGCCATTCTACCCTATACCTCGTAAGATAAATTTATCTGACTGCGAGGGTAAGCTACAGACAGCTATATCAGCCACAGACCACTCCAACCCTCTTCGTTGTACAATACCTAGTCCCATCGAGAACAGTTAGATCCGCCCAAGCAACACATACATCTAAATGATGTCCATACGACGTTACGGCAACGTCATTTAGTTCAAGTAATGTTGCATGGATGCGATTTGTTGCTTGAGCAGTTTAAGCGAAGAAGGCGCTCTACTTCAATCGGCGTTGGCGTGCGGTCACTCCAAAACACGAGGCTGTTTTTGTGAGCTTGTTAAGCCAGATAACTGATATCCGAACGTGACAGAGTTGCAACGTTTAATAAGGGACGGAATCTTAGTCACTAGCGATGGTGCCACTAGTACAATATGTGGTTACAGGATCTCGATGGAAGATCAGGTTACACCTTGTCAAAGGCGGAAAGAACGAAAGGAGAAAGAGACAGCCTATCCCAGAAAAAAGCTCTCCATTCTCGGCACAAAGCACGACGCGCTGGTGTTTTCTTTCTTGCCCCCTACCAAAGAGAATGGCAAGAAGCGAAGGAGAGTAGACAGCAATGATCTTGTCTGTCCTCTATCCTTGTCGCAGTCATGTCCAAGGTTCAGGTTCGGGGCAGGGACGCCGAGAGGCACTTCAACCTGTTTGAACATCCGAGTCGAGATCGAACCGATGCCAGAGTTGGTCCCATCGAGTTTCACCCGATTCTGTGCACACGTTGAGGTTATGCAGGTTACTGACACAGCATTTACTTGAAATGGTACATGATCTTTCATTCGCCACGTCAATGGATGAAGGACCTCGATCAAACTTTAATTTATCCAATCGATCATCAATCAGCAGCCCTAACCATTTGATTCGACATCATTTTCCCCCGTTATGCGAGTCTCTGTTCTGGCAGTCAACGGGACTTGCAGTGTGTCATAAGTAACCCACGAAATTTTGAAGCCTCATAACTGTGACGTTGAGAATAAATGAGCGAGATTTTCATATAATCTGACAGAGTTCAGGGAAGGAGGTCGAGCACTAACCATTAATACACTTGTGGTAAAATGATCGAGTAAGTTGCATGACGGGCATTGTATGATTCTGACAAGGGGTATTGACAAGAGCCTAACCCTCTGTCAATGTCTCGTCGCCTTCCAATGTCGATCGCTTATCCAGCTTGTTGGTGTCAGTCGCATGTACGAAGTTACCTTTCTCTCATAGAAAACGATAAGGCGTTAATTTGGAAGCGCTCTATAGACAAGTCCTCCCAAAATGGTTATTGGGAAGGAGAGAGACCATTTACGATTTCGAATGGGACAATTCAGTGATAATTTGCCCAATAGTTTAGCATTCCTGCATGAGCGGGTTGGGGCTCTTTCAAGAAGAAACTTTTAGGAAAATAGTTTTGTATTCAGAGACTTTGTGCAAGCGTGTAATCCCAATCAAGGAAAAAATTGAGAAGCAAAAAAAAAGGGACTCGCTGGTCTGTCAGTCATTCTCCTTGGGTCTCATGTGCCCAGTTGGTTAAACGGAAACTAAACTGGTTTCTTAAGTGGGGTCCAGATGAGGTCCGGTTCACCTGGGTAAATTTGTTCTCATAAATGAAAAATTGGATCATTTTAAGATGAGGCAGATCTGGTGCTTGTCATCCCGTCGTCTTCTGGACTAGAATTTCTTTGGAGGGAGTTGAGAAGAGAATTGCAAAAATAATTGCATTTCTGGACGAGTCCTGAATTCGTTCATTTAATGCTGACGAAAGAAACTGCAGATATGATTCCTCGCATTCATAGTTTCTTATTTGTTTTTTTTTTTCTCTCCTTTCCCAAGCTTATCTGGGCACGAATTCATCCTGGGAGAATTGGAGTCACTTCTGAAGGAAGTCGTTTCGCAATATTAAGGGGGGGGGGGGGGGGAAGGAAAGATTGCTTGCCTTCGCTGTCTGGTTTCCTTTTTTTTCTCACCTACTCTCATATGTTTAGATGAATTCCTCGAGGGGCTGTCGTGGATTCATTGCACATCCAGCGCAAGGAGGATTTTCTCTATTCAAGGGGTCACCACCGACTTGAGCATTACCTAAATTATTCCAATCCAAGAAAGTCTTCAGGAATGGAGTCGCCGACTTCTCAAAGAACGTATCTCTCATTGCTCCGTGATAAAGTCTTGAGCGACGACGATGGCAGTGAGTGAGTTGAGTTTTGTCAGACATTTTGTACGTGGTGCCCAACGATGTCGCTTAGCCCGATCGCATCATCTGGTCTGACGAAGCAATCTTTTAAATATTTAAGATTTGAAATGGTTTTGCTTAATCGTGCAGAATTTTATATGTAAACATGTCTCCTAATTTTCCCATAAAAAATATACGAAAAAGCTGCAGATTTCGTGGATTACTTTCGACTCGCTTTTTATATTTGGGTGAAAGATTAATCATTTCCTATGACAATATAAAAACATACGTACTTGACGGAATGAAAAGACCAGGAGTATCCCATTG